GGGGGGGGGGGGGGGGGGGGGGGGGGCGGATTTTTCTGGTCACCAATCAAACGACGCCGTCATTGCGACGGTCGACTTGACGGTCGTTAACGGGTTAGAACAATGCTGACCTGGCGATAACGGTGTCTGTCCGGCGTGTAACCTGACATTTGTATAAAATAAAATCATTTTTAAATTTTAAATTTTAATAATTAAGTTTCCTACTTTTTTATAAAGCTTCCATTTTAGTCTTATACTAATAGAAAGTTGACGTAATATTTTAAAGTTTTTTAAAAAATGTATAATTAATATACTTTTAACCTAAACTAATAAAAATACCACTAACCCCTTTAACTTTAACTGGAAAATAAATAAATAAATAAATAAATGTTAATTTTATTTATAAAAATGGTTAATAATTTGTTTCAAAAAATATTCTTCGAATTTTTAAAAGTTTTCATTAATATTCTTTTAATTTTTTTTTTGATTAAAAATGTCAAAAATACATTTATATTTTAAGAAAATAAACCCTACAAACTTACAAAAAAAAAAAACAAACTATATTGTGGTTGTAGTAATGATGACACGAGTGCAGAGGATGACCAGTAATGATGACACGTGTGAAGCATATTCTGTTTCAGATGCGATAACGAGAAAGGAAGATTGTAAAGCGGTGGGAAACTACGTGTCGTAACGGTGAGGCATTAAGCTACATGTCGTAGCGGTGGACCAATCCAACTTCTGGTTATCAGATCACGAATTTCGATATTATTAGATGTCGCTTCATCTTTAATTTATCTGCGTATTTTTAGAAAAAAGAAAAAAGGTTTATTTGTGGCTGACAATTTTCGATTTTTTTTTCTTTTTGTAAAATTCTGTTATCTAGTAATTATTTGGCTTACAGTTGTTATATTGGAATGAAATAATTGTGGGTTATTTTTAACAATTTTTTTTAAAAATTGAAAAAAAATTAGATCTACTGTGATAATAATAATATTCAATTTTAAACATTTTTTAAACATTTTTTAAAAATTTCAAAACTATAAAAACATCAAAATAATAATAAATATTCATAATTAAGTGAAAATAACGTTTATAGTGTTATTTGTAAGCTTAATTTTCAAAAATAGTGTTATTTACGAGCTTAATTTTCAAAAATTAAAAGTGTTCGAAAACTAAACTATCTTTTATTAAGAGCACTAGAATATATTACAATGATATACAAAATTCAAATGTAAAATAAAAATAAATTCTAGACCAAACAAATTGTGAGGTCTCGAAAGACAAAATTCCTTAAAAAAGTGTAAGAATTTCTCTTTAATAGACACAAAACTTTCTTATAAGAGTATGAAAAACTCTACTTAATAAATGCATTTTAAAACATTAAGGGGAAGCGAAAAAATAAGCCTAAAAAAGACAATATCTACTAATAATAAGCTTAGATAGCATATACATTTTATTTTTAAGTAAAATGTAAGTAAATAGTTTTCTTGAAGGGAAAGCCCTAAGAAAACTATGTCTATTAGTTATGGGTTTGGACGGTTAGGGTCTGCAATTAAGCCTATAGATCCACATGGAATTGAGCTATAAACTAAAATGTTTCCTTAAAAGGAAGGTAAAACTCGTCATGAAACAAACAAAATTTTAAAAAACCGAAAAGAAAGAGTTCATGGATTAACAAACAAATTCATATACGAAATATGTACACACACAAGTCCCACAGTAATTTTACCTCCCCAGTTTTTGTTTTAGCAGAAGTACCAATCTGGTTGTTTCAGTCAAAAGAATTTGAATAAGTTTACAAATTTAAGTATCTGAAAGCTGAAGGTGTGTATAGCGCAAATTATACAGACAGAGTTCAAGGGGTTTCACCTGGTTATATGCTTGGTTGATTGGGGTAGCTCAGACAGCATACAGCTTTATGACTTGATTGATCTTGGTGCGACAAACTGGGCAGCCCCAATTCTTGACTTTGATCTCACTTAAACAAGACATACATCCAGCCATATGGCCACAGGGGACGCAGGCTCCCTCCACTGGTGCATCCAAACATATTACACATGTTGAGTTGCCACTGCCTTGTTTCCCATCGTCCCCAACACCAGATGAAGATGCCATGCCATCTGTGGAATCCGAACCGACCAACGGGTAGTCGTCGACCATACTAGAGCTAGCCTCAAAGGTTTTGGCTGCAACTGGTGGAGCTGTGGGGACTGCATTTGGAGGGTGTGTAATCTGGATATCAGTGTTCATCGGCGCTTGAGAGCAATGGCTTGGATTGTGACCGTGACTTGCCTCTTCATGCACTGTCAATTTGCTAGAGCCTGGTCTTGGAGGAGCAGGTGGAGGTAATGCACTGCTACTTGAGGCACCTGCTTCAGAGCTTGATGAATGGGGATTTTGAAGCTGTCCTCTTTCCTGCATAGCTGACTGAATAGAGGCATTTATGGCCATTGCAAGCTCCGGATCTTCTGAACCCGGAGGTACAGTGGCAATGTTGATCGGGCTCTGGTGATTATGCCAGATTGTACGTTGCATCACCTGAAATTTCAAAACAGTACTTGATGTTATGAACAGCCCCACAAAAGAGACGTTCAATATCTTGGGCTTGCAGGCTGAGCTAAAAAATACTTCAAAGACAGGAAAATGTAGATATGCTGTTCGTGCCTCCACTGATGAGTACTAAATCATCGAGACTATGTACTATATAGTACCGAGACCTCTTTGAAATGGTGTTAAAAAACTACTTGATTTTAGAGAATATTCTATTTTAATATAAAAAAACCATTTGGATAATGAATTTGTTGAAGATAGTTGTAACCGCCCAAGCCCAATGCTAGTAGATATTGTCCTCTTTGGGAACGAGTGCCAACAAGGAGATTAAGTCCCGAAGGGAGTGGATTGTGAGATCTCACATTGGTTGGAGAGGAGAACAAAACATTTTTTACAAGGGTGTGGAAACCTCTCCCTAGCAGACGCATTTTAAAAACCTTGAGGGGAAGCCCAAAAGGGGAAAGCCGAAAGAAAATCTAAAGAAGACAATGTCCGCAAGCGGTGGACTGAGATGGTTACAATAGCTTTCTGTGAAGTTTTCCCAAGAATAGCTCAAACTTGAATGGGGATGTGAGAAACTGAAAGCTTGGGACAACATGTTTTAATCGATCTGTTTCAGTCGCTTTCTAGAAATAAAGAAAGAAAAGGCATAATACCTTTGGCTGAGGAATCCCTTTGCAAGCATCACAAAACCATTGAAGTTGTTGTCTGTCATACTCATTATCAGGTGCAAGTCTAAGACGTCCAGCTGCAAAAACCACAGATATGAAACAAAATTACTTACTACATATCAATTGTAAAAGCAACAAAGTGAAAAAATAAAACATTAAATTGATTTTGAATTCTTAATGACATATTTTAGTGCGATTTAAACATGACAAAAATGATCTTAACAATTTCAAAATCACTCCTGACGATATCAATTTGGAGGATGTAAAACAGTGAGCATACAATAAGACGTTTCACATTTAAAACACAAAACTAGAAAGACCCTAATTTCTGTTTCATATAGTTTCAAACATGAAATACGTGAATGTTTGATTTTTTAACACAAGTATATGAACAGGATCTTATTAGTTCTTACGTCTCTTTGATTTTCGAAATCGAGATCTGGCTTCCCAGGAGGTGTGACAACTCCGTTTTCGCCTCCTTACTCCTCTTGAGACTAAGTCTGAGAGCAAAACCAAGGACAATAAATAAAATTTAACTGAAGAAGTCAATAACTGTTACTGAAATAGCATTTTCGAGCAATTAGAAATTACTTGATGTGTTGTCAACAATAACAACAGAGGGATCAGGATCCTGCAACTTATGTTCCTCTAAACATGATTTCCACAATGGAATGATCAAACGAGGTTGGGCATCCTGTCCATTTAATAAAAAATCCAAACATGAGCAAGAAAACATAGAATCTTCCAATACAAGCAGTATGCTACAATTACAGTATCTCATTCACATAAAGGAAAGATTGCAGTGTCTCATTCACATTAAATTACATCAGTCAGAGCAGTATGCTACAATTAAAGACTTAATATATTTGTTTAGCAGAAGCCAGATTTCCAGAAC